ATGGGTAGTCTTATTTTTTTCAGTTTATCTCACATTGCTACTCATAAGTGTATAAGTAGTATTTATTAATCTCGACCGTCTTTTCCGTCATTTTGCCCATTCTCAATTGTCGATAGCCCATTTAACCTATTCCCCCTTTTCTCTAAGGCTTCATTGACGTGCTCGCCGCCGCCGGCGTGTCCGGCTACACCCAGTCCGGCCTGGTTCGCCATCGGGGCTCGTGCGCCGACACCAACCGACTGGCCTACTCCGTCCGGACGGACGGCAGCCTCGCGCCGACCGGGCTCGAGGGGAAGACGGCTGACCTGCTTGCAGGTGAGCGGCTGACACGACCAGCGTCGATCAGAGTCGGTTGCTGCTGCCTCTTCTGTTTCCCGATCGAGACGCCAAAGCGTGTACCTTGTGCCACGTTGCGTTTAGGCATAAAATTGCCCGACTGCCGGCACTTGTTGGACACGTCGAGGAGCAGTGAACTTGCGATGAGTGCATTCGTCTGCTCACCGGCATCGTGACAGTTAATCGTCGAAAGAATCACACACAAAACACGAGATTAAGAAAGATGGCCGGCCTACATCCTGCCTACTTCTTGTACCTCATTTTGCGATCTTCTCTTACGATCGCATATTTCTTGATTTTGTCTTTTTTCGGTGATTGTTCGTGAGTGATGCTTCCTGGTTGTGACGCAGTCCGTGACAAGACGCGACAGACGAAACATCAGCACGAAGTCATCCTCTTTGTGCAATTCAACAGACAAACGGCCATGGCAACCATCTTTCGGTACCCGGAGCGGCCGATCGACCAATCGCTGCCACTCTCGTCTCTGTCAGACGACATGAAACGTCTAAATGCTTTGAAATTAATTCTTCAGACCGTCCCACACTCTTGGTCAGCCTGGCTCGCTATTGCATTTTCACTCAACCTCGCCTCGGTCTCGTCGACAAACACAACCTTTTACTCACTGCAACTAAATAAGTTATTATTGGTATTGGAAGTTGTATGGAAGTTGTTTGTTGAGCTCTCTTCCATTTCGAGTGAAAGTGTTGCGTGAATACGGCACATTCCTCTTGACCAGCTGTCGATTGGCTTTACTGGCACATTCATACACGAACACACATTCTTATTCAAAAAAGACGAATATTCCAGAAAGATCATCCGCGATCGGTTCTATCCGATCAAATTAGTCTCCGATCTGTACAGATCCAGAGTGACCAAAAGTCAAGGGATATATTTTTTAGATTTCATAATTAATAAGCGAAGAAAAGTTGAATTTCGAGGAATCTCTTTTTTCATAATTGTTGATATTAATTCCATTTCGAGTGGAAGTGTTGGGTTCCACCAGAAGACGACGACCGATTCCTCTTGACCAGCTGTCGATTGGCTTTACTGGAACATTAATGCTGACGCTGCTTCCAAGGCAATCTCCTTGGAACTTTCCGTCATACATCACTCTACTCACTACGATTCACGAGTAGTGCATCGTCACAAGCAAATGAAAGCTAACGAATCAAGAAAACTCCGCCGTCATCTTCTGGTGTAATCGACGTTCGAATCTCTTCACCGCACACTTTCAATCGAAATGCAAGTAAGCTCAACAATTATGAAACAGGCCATTCCTCAAAACCCAACTTTTCTTTGCATACAAGTTGTTTGACCTTGCTCTCGCGATTTGGTCATATTTGCAGGAAAATAAGAGCAAACAACTTCATTTCGCATCAAAAATGCATGAAGAAGAGATTGGTAGGTTGATGTCATCACAAGACGGCCGATTCGTGCGCTACTGCGAGTCATTCTGTCTCACTTTGGGTGAAAACGGGCTGAGCATTCGTTCAACCTTTGATGGACATCATCAGAGCTGGAAGTCATTCTTGAAACAGTTTCACGACCTGGTGTTAGCAAAGTAGGATATCCCGTGGACTGCGTCAACCTGAACGATGGGAATGTCTCCACACAAAATGGTATCGCAGGGAATCTATCGAAACCCACTCATTCTTCGTGTCTATTTGGTACTGGAAGCTATTCTATGTTCATAGGGAATGCTTTCTCGCAGTGACGATGTCTTCTGCGGTACTGGGGCGGAGAAAACTCAGGATAGAGTCATCAAACTGGCAGGATGGTCCCATCATCCAAAATTCCCTTAGTACTGAC